ATCAGGCACTGTCTTTCTCCACCTTTATCTCCCCTTTATAGCGCAAGGAAATATCAAAAGGTCAAAATTTTCACCCCTCATTAAGGTAGAACTTGGAACTCTATCTTCAGAGATGAGTCAAATAATGATATGGAATGAAGAGGAGATTCCATTGGAAGTAGATGAGCAATCTGTAAAGCTAAAGGAATTACAATCCTGGCCCCATTGAATACAACGATATATCTCCCATTGATTTCTCAAGGGCCAAGATTTTCATGCAACAAAAACGTTATTCACATAAACAATGAACTCATGAAAACAACGTGTGTTGCAAATCATGTAAAATCAAATCATAAGAAAGAATAAGACAGAAATCCTGCTGGGTGAGAAATTACTTGGCAATGATTCATCAATAGAATGATTCCAGAAATGGTAAATACATGTATTCTTGCATGAATATTTGCAGAAAGGACAGAACAAGGTCAGATATAACAGAACATGACCTCTAGTAAGTTGGTCTTTTTTTCTTCCAGCTCCACATAACAGATTGACCAACAGGAAAGTAAAGGGTTAAATGGCTACAAAGTCATGCATATGCAGACCACAAAATAATGCAACCTAGAAGGAAGCTCAGGGTAACATTCCCTCTAGATTTCCCTTAATTCTTAACAAGCATAGACAGAATACTTTTCCCAGGCAATTTTTGGTGACAGAGAAATAAATAAAAAAATCAGAGGCTCCAACTAAATAAATTAAGCTACTTTCCTCCCTGTCACAACCTGAAAGAAGGTCTAATCTGGGAGTACAAATATTCAGTGACAAAATGAAAATAATTTTAGAAATAAACTTTTTCAGTACTTGCTTCGTCATCAGTATGAGAATGAGCTTCTAGTAATTCCTCTCAGCTTCGCACTCATACACAGTCTGCATGAATAGTGTAAACAGCACTACATGAATATGTAATTTAGTGCCCGCTAAGTATATCATTTCCTATATAGGAAAAAATTCTCAAGAGTCTCATTACCTCATTTCTATGCTCTCAAATACAATTGAGTCTGCTCACACTCTTTTCAACAGATGGAGTGTAAGAACAGGATAGATGGTCAAGGAAAGGTTTCATAAATAGGCTAGGTATTGTGCTGTAGTTATGTGTCTCCCCCCCTACATGTGTTCCCAAATCTGAATTTAAACATCCTGGCTGAAAATTAAATTCAATATTTCTTTCTCTCCAAATCTACGAAAAAGATGGTTAAGTAATGATAATTTATTACAATTTTACCTAAACCCACCCAGAATGGACTGGAAAAGCATTCAGTTATTCCCCAGCAGCTTTTCTCTTCTGGTCTAAAATTCCATCTATTTAACCTTTCCTCATAAATATGACTTTCTAAATTTCTTTTTATTGCTGATCTAGTCTTCCTGTTAATTCTTCTTCCTTTCTGAAAAGTGCAATGATCAAAAATATACAAAAGAAATCCTAAAGATAGATGGATCCCTGCTGCAGAGAAATGCAGAAAAATTACCTCTCAGTTCTGTAATACTGAATATGATCTGAATATCTCACAATAGGTCACTTTCTTTTAATATTCAGTTCTAAGTAGAAAGCAACAACATAGCAAGACAAGTCCCTTTTGGACATAAACTTAGTGTGTTCTCAGACGAAGACAGAAGAATAACTTGACTATGCTATAAGCACATTTTCAGCAGGTAGGTAACCTTATGAAATATTAGAACACACTCATCTTTCTCCATCCCTTGGTGGATCATTTTACCTTGCCTATGAAGGAAGCTGCTTTCTTCTCTATAGCCTGTTCCTTATCGGCTTCAGTACTTAAACCCCATGGAAACAGTAATCAAGAGTACATTAATAGCTTCCGTATCATATTCAGACACCAGACACAAAACCCGCAAATGTTTCTAAGCAACTATCAATAAAAATTAGTAGAGCAATCCAAAACCACACTGGTACTCCGAACTGCATTTTGTATTATTTTCCATGTACTTTTACAATGCTGCTATTTCACTGTGAACTGACAGTCAGGTCACTTAGTGGGGCGACACTGGCATGGTTTGTTTTTTTTTCCTTAAAAAAAGACAAATGTCTGCTCTTCAGTGAGGATGATACGTTAAACAAATTCTGGGGTGAGGGCTAGCCTACAAAGTGTTCTGAATTTGAGATTAAAACTTTACCTCCCCATTAGAGAAGATAATTATCATTTCCAAGCAATTTTCATTAGTCTTTACTTTCAAGATCATCTTCAATAAATACTGAAGCAAATTATTAGTTTTCTTCCAAAAACTATGCCCAGATCATGATTAATCCCAATTCCAACCTCTCTGCCCAATTCCTCTTAACCTATTTCTTTATATCAACATTTATCTTTTTCTTCTATTCAGTTACAATATCCAACATCTTAACTTTTGTCAAGTTGCATTTTATTCCTATACCTCCTGACTTATCAGACATATGGCAAAGATCAACAAAAACGAGGTCTTTCTAAGCTACCAAACAAAACTGCCTTTTTTGGAGGGGACACACACACGACACCCAGGACACTGGCCTCTGAAACAACCAATTTTAAATCCATCAAACACTTAACTGGAATCCTGTATTTGTAAAAAGGATATTTGTGTTTATGTTATCGTCCATAATAGTTATTTTACAAAGAAAATTATAATTTTATTTTTCTGCAGTGCCAAAGCCACACTCTTGCTCTACAAATAAAATGTAGAGCTCTGATGTAAGCTTAATGAAACAATGGTGAGTCAGATACTTCTGAAAGCCATTATCTTCCTTCTCCATGTTGACAAATCTACAGAGCTATTTAGTCTATGATAATGTTGCTTCCTAGATTAAAATCTGTCAGAAAGATACCAGATTCCTGTTGCGGATGGAACAATAAAAATCTTAATTTTTCTTTTATACAGCTTTGATGCATTTAAATTTATAAACTTAGACCTCCAAAGAGTGCAAGTGTACTCTTCCAAACTAGAAAAAACATTAGTAAACAGTATATGGGGCTTACCACTTTTCAAAAAAACCAAAAATAAACCCAAAATGAAAGGAACCTAAGCATTCAAATACCGTAATGTATTAAAAAACCCCACAACAATTAACAGTAACTGACATCAACCTAACAACTGAACATGATCTAACTTTTTATCAAACTGGGGACTCTGCATGGTACAGCACTTACAAACCACCATACCGTTTATGAATCTGTTTCTCCGTATCAGCTGTCAAAGAAAGGAAGCACACCTCATCACAGTTTGTTCAGGTCAGATAATTTACCCAGACACTATACCTGCAAATTGCCTGGCTTGACCCCAAAACATTACCCCATTTGTAACAGAATTAAAAAATACAATCAAAGTGATGAAATGCAATACTAAACCTCTAGGTGTAAGCATAGCAAAACAAGTTACTTACCTTTTCATAACAGTTCTTTGATAAGTTTTAATTTCTGAGACTCCAGTTTCTGAAAGAATGTACCTACAACTTGTTCCCTTACCAGTGTCTCTGAAGACACAACCTCTATATGCTCTGTATAGGAGGTGCAAAATTATAGGTGGAATAGGCTGAGATTGATTCAATTCCTTTATTTTCATGGAAACCCGAAGACTGAATTTCCACCAGAGAGGAAGGTGAATTTGAGGATTCAGACAGTCAAGCATGCAACCAACCCAAGCTACTGTAGACAAACATACATCTTTTCTCCTTCAGACATTTGCCCATGCAGCCTGGTAAGCAAAGCTGGTTTACAGAGATACAACTAGCAGGAATCCGTGGGCACATCTTGAGTTAAGGTAAACAAAGCAATGACTGTACATATGCTCCTACCCCCCAGGGCAACTCATCTGTAGAATTAAGAGCCTGAGTTCTTACTTTCTCTATGCTCCAATGTTTAAGGATTCAGGGCGTCAATCCCTTACACAGAAGTCAAAAGCTAAGCATATCTGCAGAACGTACTCGTTACAGAAATATCAAAGTAAGCATAATGCAGATGTACTAAATAACGCAGAAAGATAAAAGTAACAGCAAGAAAAAAATCCGCAAGTGGGAAGTCATGAAGTTTAAGAATCCAGCAGTGATAGGTAATTAAACAGGTTATGCAAAACTCAAATTATTTTAGTAAAAAAATTTAGGTCTGTCTAAAAATGGGAGTATTTTTCAGAGCTTGAAAACAACTAAGGAGTAAGCAAGTCTGTAGCACTGAAGAATCAAACAAACGACAGGACGAACTCCTTTCACTATCCTGATACTGAAGTCAACAGGTTGCTCTAACTCCACACCAAACACACCATTCCTCTCAGTCTTCCAGGCAAGGCAGATTTTCATGTCAGGAGACCGATTTATAAGATTATCACCTATGTATTTCAGTTCTAAGACGAAAACTGTACATTTTCAAGCCAGTATGTTTAATAAAATTTACCAGCAGATAATTATGCTAAATTCCACTAAGGAACCCTTACCTCCAAGTAGCAAGAACCTTAACAATAGGCCTAAGATGAATTGTTAGGACTTTTCCATAAGTCAGGTAAAATGCACCAAGTACATAAGCAGTTCCATAATCAAAACATACTACACCTAGATATTAAGAAAAGGTTTCTTATTTTTCTTTTGCCCCTTTTTTTTTAATAGAGAAGAACCTATTTTTGCAAGCAAAATGTTATTAACTACAATTAAGAGAAAGAACTAAGCCTCATATAACTTGACAGCATTATGTTCTACTGATTTCTAGTGAATAAGGGTAATATTTATATGAGAAACCATAGAGAGCTTTCATATATTTTCATGTATTTTAATCAATGACACCCTATTATAACAACAATTCCAGTACCACTACACAAATTGCATTGAACATTGATACACTCTTTTCCATTATGTCTCTGCCTGACAATTAATACTCTTCTAGATTCCAACGGTGTATCAATATTTCAGTGGGATTCTATTTTCTTAAGAGGCAAGCAAATGAATCAACATTTAAAATTTACAACAACATGAAAGATTTTGAACTTACCTTCTTTTTTTGTGTTCTGTTCCTGCCTCCCAACCAATCATCCATCTGTTCCTCAATCTCTTCAATTGAAGCTCCATGATCATACGATGGTATATACGCACTTGACTCCAGAACCGTGTATACAGGGAATTCTGATTTTGGTTTCTTGACTTTCAGCTTCTTCTCCTCTAAGTAAAAATGAGAAAAGAAGAAGAAAAAAATAATGCTACTAATACTGCAGAGAAGTATAATTCAGAAGCAGGCTTAGCTCCTCAGCTCTTAAAGCTGTATTTGTATTTCCACAGAGGAAGGGGCTTCAATTTATTTTTTTAAATGATAATTCAGTTTTGCATAATAATTTTATGTTTATGAAAAGTAAATAGCAATGCACCCACTTAGCCCCTCTTCTATTTGAACTATGCCTTAAATGGCCAAATGAAGACCCTTCCAAAACACAGTCTTGTCACTGCTATACCACCTGGCCATTAAGATTAGTACAGGCGAAAGCATAGGGGAGCCGTTAAAAGATTTTGAAAGTCCAGCTTGCTTCAAAGAAATTGGCAAAGATAGAAAGGTGGGGTTTAGACAGTTCTGTATTACTTCATGGTCAGCTGTGCTGAGCAAAAGCTTAGATAGCCCCTCTGTTCTCAGATTTCTGTAACTACAAATAGCTCTGTTCTAGCACTTAGACACTCAGGAAGATTTAAATGTTGGATGTCGTTTCTCAAACTGGTAACTGTTCTCTGCTCTCTCTGCCCTTCAAATGATATTAAATGGGAGCAGCAAACTTAAGGGACAGGAAGAAGGAACAACAACCACCTAAACCCCAGCATCTGAAAACATATCCATTTTATAAGATGATCTCAAAAGAAAGATTTAAGATTGAAAACTAGCAGAACTTTAGGAAAGACAAGAAGATGAGGATCAGAAAAAGAAGCTTGAACACTCAGAAAGCATCCAGAAACTTCAGGTATGCCAAGTGTGACTCTTTTTTCTTCTTCATTGTTTTAAAAATACGCTGTATTCACAGTAACTGGATGACACTAAACCGAAAGAGCTGATCTAACAGCTGGCTGCAGCCTAAAGAGGAAGGTTCTACTCCCCCTCCACCTGTCCACTCTCCACTGTGTGCTTATGTGCTCCTCTCTCTCCTATTTATGATTTGAGAGTCAACCAACCACTGAGCAAACCAATTCACTAATCTAGTATAAAATTACTCCTTTACACTCAAACAAAAAACCCCCTCAAAAGCAAAGAACAACAAAAAAAAAAATCTAAGTGATTAAAGGTGGTCGGCAAGGTAAAGGAGAACCACACTTCTCAGAAGCTGAGAGCCATCTGTCCCATCTGGGGACAAACTTTTAAGCAGGGCCTGTCATGACAGGGCAAGGCACAAGAGTTTTAAACTAAAAGAGGGTATATATGACTAGATATAAGGAAGAAATTTTTTACAGTGACGGTGGTGAGACACTGGCACAGGTTGTCCAGGGAGGTGGTAGATGCCCCATCCCTGGAAACATTCAAGGTCAGGTTGGACGAGGCTCTGAGCAACCTGATGTTGCTGAAGATGTCCCTGCTCGGTGCAGGGGGGTTGGACTAGATGGCCCTTAAAGGTCCCTTCCAACCCAAACTATTCTATGGGTCTGTATTAGACCAGCTTATCTACCAACCATGCCCTAATATGTTTCTAGGCATGAGAGGAGAAATGTCTGTTTTTCATTAAAACCTCCTTAAGAAAGTTCCTAAAGGGAACAGAAGGATTATTCCCTACAGATTCTGATGAAGAATTCCTTTTCCTGACAGTGTATGTGCAGAAACAGCACAGTGAAAAGACTACAGGACTTGACAAACTCCTAGGAACTGAATACTTAAGAAAGCAGTAAATGGAAAGAAAAAGGTTTCATGGCACCTTTCAGAAGTCCAAAAAGAACAGGAAATTCATATAGATGTTGAAAGTTAACAGAATGACTACTGATCTTTTAAATTTTTAAATATACATTGTTTAGAGATCTGTTTTTGTGAAAAATCTCTAACTTCGCTTGTAATTGTCAAACTTCTCTCAATAAATGAAATAATAACTAAAAACTTGCATTTGGAATTTTCTTAGCGTCCTTCTATTGGTATGAATAGTATATATAATGAAATTACACATACTCCTCAAAAACAAAACTAAAAGAAAGCCTAAAAGTGTTAACCAGCATTTCTCTCATTTTTCGGATGTTATTACAGACAATAGTGCTGCAAAATTCTTCTTGTCTATTTCAAAAGGTAATTGTTGTAATCAAATCACATATATTACCCATCATCTCATTTTCTCCAAAGCTGCTGTATGTAATAGCTTCCAAAGTCAGAGTTTCGATTTGCAAGGGTAAGTAGGAATGGCTTCACCAGCTATTTACTGCAAACACATATACTGGCAAAAATATTCTAGAAGGTACCTTAAATGACAATTTCCACTACTGTATTTCAAGCCTGCAAAATAATCAACCACACTGCATGTGTTCACTTGGAATTACTTAACAGTGGAGACACATCACGACAGTTGGATTTTCCTGTATCTAGCACCCCTCTCAAAATCTGCAAATAGTTTAAGCCTGAATGCATCTAACATTTAAAAATGAAGAGCCTAGCCTGCAAATAGGTCATCTAGGTTCTTTCTGTAGTTTTAGAAGAAACTCTGTAATAGTACTTCCAGAAGGCACTGTACCCCACTTTAATGAGGTATTGAAGATGGTATCTAGGCTTTCTTCAGGCAGTTAAGTGAGAAAAACCCACCACAAATAACACACCCTGCCATTTGCTATCAACGGGATGCTAAATCCCACCTAGCGAAGATGGCTGTACAACCTCCAACAAGCACTCAACCAGAATTAAAAAATCCTGTCTCTACTGTGCATATAAAAAAGATAGATTTCAGCATATCCCTTACATAGCACAATGGCTGTCATATTGAATTGCAAAAAAAAAAAAAAAAAAAAAATTGAAGTCGCAGCACCTTTAACCCAGGGCTTCCAATTACTCATTGAGAACAGTTTCACCTTAGAATTTTCAAAAGCCACTTTTTAGAATAGGAAATCACATAAAAGTGGTTTAACGTTAACACCATAAAGGATTTTAGATAGGGGAAGTTGAGAAGTTATGTTCAGAGGTAATGACGTATACACGATGAAGCTTCAACTTAAGGCTGCCAAGCACGGTTGTTCTTCCAGATGAAGATGGAAAAAGCAAAACGGATCACTGAACCTATTTCACTCGAACAGAAACTCACATCTGATACCCAGGAAGAAAACCTCTCTTTTCATGTTATGTTTTCATTATCAGCAATGCAACTGGGAGCCCAAAAGACACTTCTGACCTGACCTGGTGCTTTCCCCTTAAGAGAATAAGGATCAGGTTTTCCAAATAGTATATGATTCCTAGACAGCTGAATTCGACATCTGCTAAGGCTTGACAGACAGCCAGGAAGCTGGTGCTGCTGCCACCACCACAACCTAAAGCAAGGATGTGTTTGATGACGCTGACAGTAGCAACAACTGCAGCTGTGATTCAGAGTTTTGAAAGACAAGTGTTCCGTTAATACTCAGTGTCATCCTCTAACGGTGCTGGTTTAGACTATGTGGCCATCCACCGTAACGCAACAGGCTTTGACAATGCATTTTTCTCCTCCAGTCTCACTGGAGTTCTAACACTGTTCTAATATTGTTGCGTATAAACATAAGTGAAATGCAGGAAAAATGTACAGAAAAAGATTTTAGAGGTTCCTCCCAGTTTTGTGACAGCCTACTCACTGTCCACCCGAGACCCAACCGGTCCACTATGCCCTCTGCAGACGCCAATATCCAGCAGACGTTAACTATGACCAGAGTTACTGGTGCTCATACAACTAAATGCAGTGGAGAGAAACAGTCTTGGTGAAACCAGAGCCCAGCTACAAGCTCAATAGGGTAAATTAATACCTTACCCTCTCCACTACTTTGAGATGAAAACATTATGTATTTTAATTGCCAAATTGCAGTGTAGTACCTTTTCTAGTTTATTAAATAGAATTTATAAAAAGGCAACAGCAGAAAGTAATCCAAAAGCATAAGCATTGTGGAAATTGCTTCATATCTATCACTCCAATGTAAAACAATAGGATTTTACATGAGTTATGGATTTTACAGAGCTCTAGTCCTTCTGTAGCACAAGAAACTTCATTTGCTGAATTCATACTGCAAGGTTACTATGAGTATTTTCCACCTTAAGAACTAGTAAATTCTTTACCAGAAGATTAAATTTCACTGCGTATTTAACAGCTTAGAGTTAAAAAAAAAAAGAGATCTAATTTGTCCTCTGTGTTTGAACAGCACATAAACACGCCCATCACTGGGATCCCTAGACTTTAACAGAAAACAATTAATAGCTCTCAAAGTACGGTACTTTAGGTTTCTAAAGGCCTCCGAAACGATTGCAGGACTGGCTATACGTTTTACTAGTTTATGGTGCCATGATCCAGGTTTTGAAGAGTGATAAATTACTTGCACATAATCAGATACTTTGACCTTCCTTGTTAGTCCTTCCACCTTATTCCTACATTAATTTTATCAGTGGCAGAATTAATAGTATCTGGCTAATGGTTATTTGCTTTAATATATATCAGCTGTCATTTTTAGACGATAAGGAACCAGCTAGCATTGTAGACCGAGTGCCATGTAATAAAACAGTGGTGCTTTTTCCATAATAAATATCGGTGGTTCATATTTTAACATTTTCAGAAAAGCACATACTGATTTTACCTGCCAGTTATGTAAATGTAAAGAATTTGGAGATTTTTTCACAGAATAAAAAACACTGCTTCATATAGAAAGAAACCAAACCAAGAACAAGTGCTGAACTTCTGCAACGAAAGTATGACACATCAAGCTGGAGCTTCCTCTCTCTGCAAGCTTTCTAAGCTTTAAGTATGAACATGAATCCACAGAAAATATGGTCAAAAAAAGACAGTGATGTCTTCAAGATCACAGAAAGAAAAGGGACAGACTGATTGGTATCTCATGGACTGAGAAACAAGAAATATGACCAGTAAGATACTGCACTGAGATCTCCTTTCAATATTGTTCACTTATTTCTGTAACTATGAAAGACAACCAAAACATTTACAGCATTAAAACATGACAGAGAAAAATTCAGCTGCATGTTCAGCAACACA